AAGATATTTTTATTGAAACAAAAACTCCACTGCTCATCAAAAACAGCGTACAACCCAGTGATTAAATAGCTAACTCAAATCAACTACCTAACAAACTCCTAATGATAAATCACAACCACTTCCAATCTCCTAATCACAAATCTCAACTTCTAACAGTCTCCTAAATCTCAACTGCTTAACAATCTCCTAATGACTCAAACAAACACATACGTCAGGATTATTTCCCAACATACTCCCCCTAATCTTGACGTGGGAACTCAAGGTTTCTGACCCCAAGTAGCTTGCACATTTCTCCAAATTTTACTCTGGCAAGTGCTTTGGTCATGATATCTGCACGTTGCTCATTTGTGCTCACATGCCCAACAACGATCAGTTCCTTTTCAACACACTCACGGATGAAGTGAAAACGCGTGTCGATGTGCTTGCTCCTCCCATGGAACACTGGATTCTTCATCAACGCAATTGCTGATTTGTTGTCGACGTAGAGGGTGATTGGTTTAGGATCTCGTCCAGTTACTTCGCTCAACAATGCCCTCAGCCATATGCCTTGGCAAGCTGCTACTGTGGTTGCCATAAACTCGGCTTCACATGATGATAACGCCACGCTCTTCTGCTTCTGCGACACCCAAGATATCAAATTCCCGCAGAAGTAAAATGCCAATCCGCTTGTGCTCTTCCTGTCATCAACATCACCGGCGAGATTACTGTCGCTGTACCCTACTAAATTCTCATCTCCTCCCCTAGTGTAACACAGGCCAAAGTTGATACTCCCCTTCACATACCTCAGTATCTGCTTGACAGCTTGGAAATGTGAACTTCGTGGCTTTTCCATATATCTGCTCACCATCCCGACAGCGTAGGCCAGATCCGGTCGGGTGTGAAGCAAATATCTTAGACTTCCAATCAAACGCCTGTACTTGGTTGGGTTCACTAGCTCTCCTCCTTCTTCTTTTCTAAGCTTCAGCTTGGGCTCCATCGGGCATTTTGTGGGATTGCAATCACTCATACCTGCTAGCTCCAATATTTTCTTGGCGTATGAGGCTTGCTTCAGTGAGATGCACTGATTTCTTTGCTCCACTTCAATGCCCAGATAGTATGAAAGATGTCCCAAGTCACTCATCTCAAACTCTTTCATCATTTGCTGCTTAAATTGCTCGATCTCTTGTGCACTAGTACCAGTAACAATCAGATCATCAACATAGACACCGATCACAAGAGTTTCTGCATCTTTGTTTCTCCTGTAGACTGCCTGTTCTTGTGGACATTTCTCAAAACCGAGACTCTTCAGACTCTTATCCAGTCGCATGTTCCACGCTCTAGGTGCTTGTCGCAGCCCGTAGAGCGCCTTAGATAATTTGTACACCTTGTCTTCTTGATTCTTCTTGATGTACCCCTCCGGCTGGCACACATACACTTCTTCTTGGAGGTCGCCATTCAAAAAGGCTGACTTGACATCCATATGATGAACCTCCCAACCTCGTTGAACTGCGATAGCGAGCAATAACCTCACAGTCTCCATCCTTGTTACTGGCGCAAAGACCTCTTCGACGTCAATGCCTTGTTGCTGCACGTACCCCTTTGCGACGAGCCTTGCCTTGTGCTTCACCACATTTCCTTCCGAGTCCTTCTTGAGCTTGTACACCCACTTAACTCCAATGGGCTTATGTCCTGGTGGCAACTCGGTCAAGAACCAAGTCTTGTTCTTCTCGATGGCATCAATTTCTTGTTGCATCGCCATCAGCCACTGTTTCTCTTTAGCAGCCTCGCAGTACGTCACCGGCTCCTCGGCGGCGAGAAGGAATAGCTCGTGCTCACACTCGACCTCCTCGGTTTCAGCATAAATTTCATTGAGAGCACGATAACGCCTTGGCCTATCATCAGAAGATGAATCATTAGAGCTCAGGGAAGCGCTTGGTGGAGTTGTCGGTGTCGTTGGAATTGCCACGCTCGGCTGATCCACATTATCGCCACCTGCGACGTCGTGGTCTGGAGTATTCGCTGTAGATGCAAGTATGGGTGAATTTGACACCAGGGGTGGAGAAACGGCCTCCTGCTGCTCGTGCTCCGGCTGGCATGATTCACCTCCCTTCTCAACAGTGAATGTTATCCGACTTTCTGGATCATTGCTGATTGTTTCATCCCACTCCCATCTCTTATTTTCATCAAACACAACATCTCTGCTCACATACAACTTGTTGCGCCGTGGATCGTATACACGATGAGCTTTACTCCCGGCTTCCACACCGAGATACACCATGGGAGTGCTTCTATCATCGAGCTTCTTAGTGAACACGTTTGGCACCTTAACATGTGCAGTGCACCCGAAAACCCTCAGGTGCTCAAGATGAGGTTTCCTGCTAGTCCACATCTCATAGGGGGTTTTGCCAGTCAAGGCTTTCGTCGGTACTCGATTTAGTATGTAGACAGCATGCCTCACTGCCTCCCCCCACAACTTTGCAGGCACACACATGCTCTTTAGTAAGCTCCTTGCCATCTCTAAGACAGTACGATTTCTTCGTTCAACAACGCCGTTTTGTTGTGGCGTGTAGGGCGCTGTCAAGTGCCGCTGGATGCCTTCATCTTCACACAGAGTTGTGAACTGTCGGGATAAGAACTCGCCACCACGATCAGTTCTCAACACCTTTATCTTGTGCTCAACCTCCTTCTCGATCAATGTCTTGAACTTCTTGAACGCCCCAAATGCTTCACTCTTCTGCTTGATCATGTACACCCACATCATCCGGCTATAGTCGTCAACAAGGAGGAGGAAATATCTATTGCCGGCGGGTGTCTCTGGAGTTATTGGTCCACACAGATCTGCGTGTACCAATTGCAGCGGGTGTTCGGCTCTGAAGTTCGCCTGGGAGGGGAAGGCATTCCTCGCTTGCTTGGCCACAAGACATCCCTCGCAAATCTGCGTAGGATGATCAATCTTAGGGACCCCGTGTGCCATCTCTCGATCTCCCATCATCTTGAGTGCCTGGAAGCTCACGTGCCCTAGCCTCGCATGCCACAACCAAGCTGGATCCTCCATGCTTGCTGTCAAACAAACAGGTTCACAAGTTTCCAACAAAACTTTGTAGAGCCTGTTGGGGGATCTCTTGACATTGAACAACAATTTCCCATTCCTGTCATATATCCTCAGAAATGCTCCACACATAACAGCCCTACTTCCATCTTCAGAGAGCTGGCCAAGACTTATAATATTGCTACAAAGACTTGGTATGAAATATACCTCCGGTAGTAGTCGTTGTTCGCCATTCTTGCATTGAAATAGGATGGATCCCTTCCCTTTGATTTGCACCATCGAGCCATCGCCAAACTTCACCTGCCCATGGATGCTCTCATCCAAGTGCTTGAACATAGATCGTTGGCCTGTCATGTGGTTGCTGGCCCCATTGTCCAGGTACCACACGTCAGACCCGACTGGTGCCTTCTCGACTGTTTGTAGCTTCGGAATAACATTCTCCTCGTTCAACAACACCATGTTGTGCATGCCCCCCGCGCACTCGGCCATGAGTAGTGCTGGCTCGTCATCTTGAACACGGGTGAGATTGGCTTCCTCGTCTCGGTGCTTATTACGACACTCCGAGGCATAGTGCCCGAAATTGTTGCAGTTGAAACACTTGATCGTGCTCTTGTCTCGGCCTCCTTCACGACCCCCGTTTGTTCCCTGGCGAGTACTGGTGCTACTGCCATGACCTCCATTGCCGCGGCCTCGGCCACGACCACGGCCGCGTGCGTTACTACGCCCATGCCCGCGATTGTTTAGAAAAGAAGATTCCTTTCCCCTTGATGACTTTGCGTCGGGTTTAGGATCCCCTCTTATTAGAAGCGCCTGTTCGTGCCGGTTGTCGTAGTCACGGTAGCGCTCCTCATGCGCCTTTAGAGCACCAATCACCTCGTCCACCTGCATGGTCTTGAGATCGCCGAACTGTTCCATAGTCGCGGCGATCTGCAAGAACTTTGGTGGCACACAACGAAGAAGTTTCTTCACCACATGGCTCTCTTCCATTGTCTCCCCAAGAGATCGGATCTGGTTCACAAGGGTAGTGAGTTTTGTAGCGAACTCATCCACCGACTGCGCATCGCCCATGCGCAGATTCTCAAACTCCCACCGAAGTGCTTGGAGTTTGACTTCTTTCACACGTTCCACACCAACGTGCATGGTTCTGAGTGCCTCCCAGGCCTCACGTGCAGTCTCCTTGCCAGCGAGTTGAAGCATCGTCTCCTCCGAGATCGCCTGGTAAATGACGGCGAGCGCCATCTGATCCTTCTTCTCGTCCACCGATTCGCCATCATCAGTGGCCTCGACCGCCGCCCAAACCCCTTGGGCGCGCATGTTGGCCTTCATCTTCATTACCCACGCCGGGTAATTCGACTTTGACAGCATCGGGTACTTGAGAGTTACTGAACCTTCTCTAGCCGCAGCTTGCGACGTTGCCGTGTCGGTGAGCTCCTCACTCCCGCTCTGGGATTTGCTTGGCGACGGCATCTGCTTTGGCATACCAGCGCTCTGATACCACGTGTAGAACTAAAACGCTCACCTGAAACACTTAAAGAAGCAACTCACTCACCTGGAACACTCAAAGAACAACACGTTCATACGTGTTCTCCTGATTGAAGGAGCAGGAGAAAAATGCACACAAGATATTTTTATTGAAACAAAAACTCCACTGCTCATCAAAAACAGCGTACAACCCAGTGATTAAATAGCTAACTCAAATCAACTACCTAACAAACTCCTAATGATAAATCACAACCACTTCCAATCTCCTAATCACAAATCTCAACTTCTAACAGTCTCCTAAATCTCAACTGCTTAACAATCTCCTAATGACTCAAACAAACACATACGTCAGGATTATTTCCCAACAAAATCTATTGCTATTGACCATAACCCATGGACCAGCGATGGATGTTGTATCTGATTCCCATAAATTGAATACCCACGTGTAATTTCCTGGGTACTTCTACGTAACAGCTAGGATTTGCATCTCTGGGTAAAGCTCCTTGGGTAATACCAAGTTTTCCAGTAGTGACAATATTTTCTGCTTCAAGAAAATCTTACAAAATCCATAGCTACAAACTTTACCAACAAAGATCAAGTTGCAGTCTAAGACCTAATGCATCTCAAGGACTTTCTTCCACGATGCACGCCCTGAGATCTCCTCCCACCATCTTCCAACATTTTTCTTCGATGTAAAGAGATGACTACGATCAGTGGAGTTAAGAAGATACTGAGCATTAGGCAAATGAGAGAGATCAGCTAATGAAAACTCCTCTCCAGCCAAAAACCTGCTCTCACTTAGCCTGTGATCATAAACATCTAGTACTTTCTTCAGTTTTCTCTCAGCGTCTCTGATTGCTGCTGCATCTTGTTTCAACTTCATTTGAGGATAGAAAACTAGTTGCGCGACTAAAGTTGAAGTCGGAGGGTTGAAGCTCTGAGACTCGGTTTCTAGCCACTGATCTATGGAAGCTCGATGAATTAGTCCACCCTCTGTATTGCCCATCAAGCCCATCTTGCCTTTGGTTGCATATTTGTCACAGATGTATCGGCATATTGCCCTGGATTCTGCATTTAAGTTCTAGAATTTGTCAATGCTGAATCTTACCAAGACTAAGACAGGAATTGATTGAGATATCTGAAAGTTCGGACTAATCAAAGATATCAGGTTACGTTTTAGGGCTCAGTACGTAAAAAGTTTATCGAAACTGGAAAGTTATATCAAATTATAAACTGAATATGTTCCTAACGACTGAATTTTTAGCTGAATTGCACAAGAAACCAAACCTAAAAAATTTCAATTTAGCAACCGTAGTAACAACGTAGCTGAAAACTCATGTGCATAAATAACCTAAAATGTAGAGAATTTTTCATTCAGAAAAAAAAAATTTGGGAGAATTTAGTCCAAAAAAGAAACAATATGGTTCGTCGGCTAAGATTTTCTTTCACTTCACTAACTGCAAAGGAAATCTCAAGGCTGCGGCTATGTTTTTCTTAGGGCCGTTGAGTGTGTTGAGTGTATCTATTGACATAACATAAAATTCGACAGACAGTGATGAAGCTTGCATACCAAAGAGAGTGATGGACTCATCCTGAAACACAGGAACTTGGCCAAATGGCTGCACAAAATGTAAGAAAAAAATCCAAATTAATAAGAACAGTTAAGCTAATTTCGTTGGGAATTGGGGATTGAAAAGGGAGTACCTGAAGTTTGAGGAAGCCAGAGGACTTGTGCTGAGCTTTGGAGAGATTGATGGGTATGAGCTGAAACTCCACCTCTTTCTCTATAAGGCAAGCCAGAACTCTCGACACAGCAGTCGAAAATGCCGGGCCATAGACCTTAACCTTAGCCATTGCTGCTTGTTTTGCTTTCTAAACGCCGGTCTATCCTCTTCAGGAAAATTGAGGAAAGGAAAAGAAGCCAGTCAGTAATTGGATTAACTGATGATGAGTAGGATCGTGAAACATTGTTGGCTGCTACTATAGGAACGTGTCCAAGCCAATGCCCTCATACTGTGAGGGAAACAGTTGCAACCTCATTATAATCCAATCTTGGTTCACTACAACTGCACGTGTCTACACTAATTTTATGACATATAAAAAAGTGTCATTTCATTTGCACAAGATTAAATAATAGTAATACAAATAAAAAGTATGGCAAATCACGATGCATGTTTGTGTCATTAGATATACAATTAAATATATTTAAAAAAGGCTAACAGTCAATATGGATTGTGTGATGATCTATTAATGGGCTTAAATAACAAATCTTAGATTTTAATTATGATGACGATTAAACATTTATGAAAGTGTATATGCTAAACAACTCTAAAGTTAGGTGTCCTTTTGTGAGAGTAATTTTAGGATGAGTGACTTTCTGAAAAGTTATAGTGTTAATGGTGATGCTCTTTATATTTTTTGGTCTAGACATAATTATGTGTCACCACCCTTGACACATGCATGTGACACAAGTTTTATGACACATGTATATGTCACCTTCGATGTACTGTGAGTTTTGTGACACATGTATGTATTATAAATTTTATGACACATGTATGGATCACAAGTTTTGTAACACATTCTCACATGAGTGCTGCTACGGGGACCCAAAATATGGGACCAAGGGAGGGGACAGGTGAGGTGTCCCCTCCATATTGCATAATGAGTTGGTCATGCCAACTCATTATGCAATAGGGAGGGGACACATCACCTGTCCCCTCCATTGGTCCCATATTTTACCAACTCATTATGCAATAGGGAGGGGACACATCACCTGTCCCCTCCCTTGGTCCCATATTTTAGGTCCTTAAATCATTTTCCTTCTCACATGTGTAGAAAAACGCTCTCTACACATGCTCTACCACACTTTTAGTATGTGGCACACTCTATATGTTTGACACAAAAATATATAATATGGAGACAAAAAAATATATCATAATTTATAACTTTTGTTATAGTGGTTCCACGTATGGTGATGACGTTGGAGACCTAGGTATGAAAGGTTAGTCTGAACATTTTGCTTTTTGTTTATAATTACATGTCTTGAACCTCTGAATTATCTAATCTTCATTTGAAAAAGATTGAAAAATAATAGGCTGAGTTTACACTCAGTGAGTAGATAACTTATCATTAACGGATCAAATAAGTTTTCAAAAAATAACTAGTACTCACTTTAAGTGAGCTATTATAAAGAATGATGTAAGAAGCATTTAAGAGATTGACAAAAAGAATTTTCTAACTATTACATAAGACAATGTTATAAGAAAAACAAATTATTGAAAGCAACTAAAATTTGAGTACTAAATACTTGATAATGTCGATCTAAAATCACACTTGAAAAACTTTCTCAGTTGTCACACTAAGGCTATAAAAATTATAGCGTAGTAGCATGGGAATGTGCATCGAACCACTTCAACCTGGGAATAGAATGTACCTAGTAATACTATAGGTTGCCCAAGGCCACTTTACTTTTTACCAAAAAGAACATTTTAATACTGGTCGGTACATTCGATATCATATTGTAGGCTTAAATAAATCACTTTACTTCATAGCGGACTTCTAAGGAATGTAAACATTTAAAAATAAATTCTTTTCCCTCAAAAAATCACTTGCAATTTCCACTTGCATGAAAAGCAATGTAAATGCTTAAATGCTTTTGGAAACTTTTCTCATGTCAATATCACGAAAATAAGGCACCCACGATTTAAAACAAATAAATATTTTCGTCATATATAAACTCTTCAGAAATTTCCATATGTATGATAAGTTTGAACAATATATTTTATACCATATTTTGGATAACTTTCATTATACTAAATATATTTATAACTAAGATAAATAATCACAATACCAAGTTCTTTTAATTTTTCTTTATACAAGAATAGAATATAACATATCTGATCCAACATTTATTCTAATATTACAATATATAATCATATCTATACATTATTTATATATTAAAATAATTAATAAGGAGAAATCTACTCACCTCAAGAATCTTCGATACTTTTGGAAAACCGTGCTCCAAAAACCTACTCCTCGATCAACCTATAAGCATACAATGTGAAAACGGCGAAGGAATTGTGAAAAACGTGAAGAATAACCCAAAACAGACTCCACCACACCCTGGTGTGGTGTCTGCCATGGGTGTGGTAGAATTGGTCCTGCACCACACCCTCTGCCACACCCACGGTGCAGGGTGTGGCAGAATCTGTCCTGCACCACACCCTCTGCCACACCCATGGTGCAGGGTGTGGCAGGCTCATTTTTAGAATCCCAATCAGTTTGGGATTGTGTTTTGCTATAAATAGAGACACGTTTTTTAGGGTTTCCTAGGCTTGGTTTTAGGCTTTGATTAAGCATTGATTGGGGGCTATTTGGAGCACAAAAAGAGGTATTTTTGAGCTATTTGTTTAGGGTTTTATTTGGAGAGATTAAGAGCTTTGTGGTGAGATTAGTTTGTTCCTTTGAGCGTATTGTAATCTCAGTCTGTACTCTTTCTCTATTAGTGAAAACCTCATCCCCCCTTACCCCGTGGACGTAGGCAACCTGTCGAACCACGTTAAAATTGGTGTTTTGTTTGTGCATTGATATTTGGTTCGTTTAGCTCTCTTGGATTAACGTTTGGTTTGGTTCCTCGACACAGCACCAGGCACAACAAGTGGTATCAGAGCTCGGGCTACGCTTGGGATATTTGGAGGAGTAGATCGCTTTGGAAGTTCATCTAGGGCTTCGTTTGGTGATAAAAGTGGGATCTTTTTGGTAAAAATCTCGTCTTTTTCAGTTTGGATCTATTTCTCGTTTGTTTCTGCATTGGTTTGGTGGTGCTTTAAGGATTATGACCGAGAAAGAAGGAGTTGTGGGCAGTACTTTCGGCGTGAAGACCGTCCAAAGCTTGAATATTCACTCGATGAAGATTGACGTGGAAAAGTTCAATGGCACAAACAATTTTGGACTTTGGCGATGCAAAGTCATGGATGCGCTCAACGCGCAAAATTTGGAAGATACGTTGGAGTTGGACGGGAAACCGGACAATATTGATGAGAAGGTTTGGAAAAAGATGAATCGAACGGCGTGTGGTGTGATTAGGTCTTGTCTCACTCAAGATCTAAAGTATGATGTGATCAATGAGACTTCTGCAAAGAAGATTTGGGAGATCCTTGAGAGCAAGTATTTGACCAAGAGTGTGGAGAATCGCTTGCATTTGAAGAGGAGGCTTTACCGCTTCCAGTTGAAGAAAGGAACCTCCATTGGTGATCACATGAACCACTACACGAAGCTTCTTGCGGATTTGACGAATGTAGATGTGGTGATTGAAGATGAGGACAAGGCGTTGTTGTTGTTGAGTTCCTTGCCTGACGAGGAATATGAGACCTTCGTTCTTACTCTTATTAATGGGAAGACATCTCTTTCGTATAGTGAGGTCACCGCTGCACTTGTGAATTATCAGCTTCGAAAGAAGGATAAGGAGACTTCGATTGAGCCGGTAGCGGGGGCGTTGGTCGCAAGAGCAAAGGGTCCAAACCGTAGTGGGAGGTCGCAGTCTAGAGGGGCACATCTTGGAGTTCGTAAGAATCAATGTGCCTTTTGCAAAGAAGATGGACATTGGAAAGCCGATTGCCCAAAGTTAGTTGATCGAGCCGGGAAGAATAAGGGAAAAGCTATTCAAGCTTCAGAGGCGAATGTTGTCAAGGCTAGTGGCAACGATTCAGATTCGGATTCTTCGGGCTACTCGTTATCTGCACTGCCGTCAGTTTGTGTTGCCTACTCTACAGAGTGGATATGGGGTTCGTTCCTCAGTTGAAGGAGAACATCATTTCACTTGGAGCTTTGGAGGCAGCAGGCTATAGGGTGACCTTGGCGGATGGACGCTTGAAGGTTACATTTGGGTCCATGATTGTGATGAAGGGCGTCAGAAGGAGCAATTTGTACTATTTGCTTGGGAGCACGGTGATTGATAGGGAGATGACGACTTCATCAGATTCGGCTAGACTGTGGCATTGTTTGGTGCTGGGGTATATGATTGGTAATGTCGTGCATTGGTTGTTGAGGAGTGTTATGACCTGGAGATTGAAGTCCTGTGAGCATATTGGGATGAGCAAGACCGTGGTGGAGTTTGGCATTCATATCCATCGAGCGAAGGGTTTTTTAGGAGGTGTTCAGTCAGGCATTTGGGGGCCTTCCAAGGAGGCATCATTGGGAGGTAATCGTATCTTAGTTTCCGCAGTTGAAGATTGTTCTAGGCATTATTGGGTCGCGACCAGTTCCCGTTGGTGTAAAGTCCTAGAAGTCAACAACAATTGGAAGAAGTGTATTGGCAGAAAGGTAACTCATTGTTTCAGCTTTGGTAGGGGTCCTTTCTACGGTAATAGGAGACACTTCATTGGTGTGGAGACTTTGGGGCGACGAGATGAGATGACAGTTTCGATGAGTCGTTCCTTTCTGGAGGAGGATCGGCGTTGGTTGTCGAGCATTGGTTCTGGAGCTTCGACATATTTGGGTCATCTTAGTCACAGGTCGCCGACTGCTGCATTAGGAGTTATTGGATCTGGTGGAGCTGCTTCAGATTTTGGGTTGCGTCGGATATTTGGATACCCAGCATTTGGTCACATCGAGGATGTGAGATTTGATCCGATTGCGCGTTTGGATTCGGAGGCTCATTTGATTATCGTTTGGGAGCTTCTGATTTTGTTCTGAGCAGGTATGTCACTTTTGACTCTCGACAGGGGGAGAGTGTTGATCAGGTCGTTTGGATATTGCAGCAGGTGGAGGGTGATGCTACTTCACGTTGGGTGGAACTTATTCCACATACTCCAGATCATACTGCGTCATTTGGGATTCTAGCTGAGGTGACGCAGGTTGGGGATCATTTGATTTCGGATGCAGATGATGGATTGGTTTTGGATTCGGTTGCAGCTGGTGGACATGATTTGGATACGGCCATTGGTTCACCTCAGATGGAGGTGTTTGATTTGTATCAGTTTGGGGCCGCTA